TCTGTCACAAGATTTAGGACTAAGTTAGTTATGGGAACATGGAAAGTAAGCAAGTGAATAAATGGGGCTATTATAAACCCTAGGAAAAAACAAACAGTGACAAAAACTGTAGAGGATCTACCCAAGAGAAAAGAAAACATGCCCACAGAAAAATCTGTACACGAATGCTCACAGCAGCTTCATTTAGAATAGCCAAAATGTGGAAACAACCTAAATGTCCGACAAGTGATGAATCGATAAAACACGGAGTATCCATATAAGGGAACACTGGTGCAACACAGATGAGCCTCAATCTTATACTAAGTGAAGAAGGCCACTCAGTGTATGATTCCCTTCACAAGAAATGTCCAGAACAGGCCAATTCACAAGGACAGAACGTAAACTAGCTTGCTGAAAAGCTTCTCCAACCTTCTCCATTGAGAACCGCTGCCCCACTTGCCCTCCTGACTATGTCCTCGTTTTCCTAGCCTTAGACCACTTCACCCAATCACTTCATCCAGTGGATCTCCTAATTGCCAAATCCCACGAGTCCTTTCAGAGCCTTGTCATCCTTGCTGTCTTCTAAAGCCCTGTCTCCATCATCCACTGTTCCTCAAAAAGCTCACTTCCTCTTAGGTTATTATACTTCCCTCACCTGTCCAGTTCCATCTTTTCCTCTCACCTCTGTCCTCAACTCATCAATCTGAGTGACTAGTCTTCAATCTCCACCCCCAGTTTTGATGTTCTCCTGAGTACGTCTCTCTATTCCTACTAGCACCTCAATTTCAGTCCATTTAAAGACAAATTTTCATCATCTCCCCAAACCAGCTCTTCCTGCTAGCTTCTGAACCCTCCCAATGCCCTACATCAAAGCCTAAATGGGAACTTAAATTCCACCTCTGCTCTATCTTCAGGACCAAGTTTCACTGAGGCCAAGTCCTGTCATGTCCAGCACCTTGCACAATGGCTACTTCCTCTCCCCATCCCGTCACTCTCTTAGGATCGGCATCACACACCCAGATGGCTGTCTCCTTGAGGCAGGCATGAGTTCTCTAGGTGGTAGATACCCTCTCTACCCCACCACACACAAACAAAAAAAAATATGTGTTCATACCCACAGAGTCTCTTCTTCAGCTGACTAGCTCCCAGAAGCATCTAGCCCTGATCTGATCCAACACCAAGGGCTGAGCCTAATATTAATTATTCGACTCCTGCGTAGCTGGAAGTCCTTGGACTCATTCAAACATTCCACAAATATTTAATTCTAGGTGAAAGAAACAAAACAAAGGTCCTGGCCCTCATAGGGTTGATGTTCTGGAGGGGGGTGTATGGGTGAGCATTCAAGGATACCTGCAGACCACTGGTCTTCAGCCTGCTCAACTTTGCTCTAAGACCTGAGTCTAGGGCCATCTCTTTGGTGTGGTTCCTGGTAAGCCAGTATTTATCAAGCTCCATCCACACTCACTGACTTTCACTAACTGCCCTATATAACTGAGCTCTTCTACACTCAGTATGCTTACCAAGTGGCACAGTGGTAAAGAGTCTGCCTACCAATGCAGGAGACAAAGGAGATGCAGGTTCAATCCCTGGGTCGGGAAGATCCCCTGGAGGAGGAAATGTCAACCTACTCCAGTACTCCTGCCTAGAGAATTCCATGGACAGAGGACCCTGGTGGGCTATAGTCCAAGGGGTTGCAAAGAGTTGTATAGAACTGGGCATGCGTGCACACCACACACACACACACACACACACACACACACACTACAGTTTTATCATCATTTATCTCAAGCTCCACAAAGCCATAAAATTCTATTTTCCCTATCTTCTCAGGTTCCCTATAGCTCAGAAACTACAGCTGGCATGTGAATACTTGTTGATCAATGAAGACAGGGAACCACTTTACCCCAAATCTAACATGGAGCCCTGTGAAGCCACTTAACCACTGCAGGAGTTCCCAGAATGTTCATTTTACTCAACAATCTATAGGGATAAGGTTACTACTTAACCACCAGGTAGTTCAACCCAGTGGACTTCCCCAGTGGCTCAGCAGTAAAGAATCCGTCTGCAATCTAGGAGACACAGGAGATGTGGGTTTGATCTCTTGGTCGGGAAGATACCCTGGAGAAGAGCATGGCTACATACTCCAGTATTCTTGCCTGGAAAAATCCCATGGACAGAGGAGCCTGGCAGGCTATAGTTCATAGGGTCACAGAGTCAGACACGACTGAAGCAACTCAGCATGCACACACACACTTTAACACATTATAAATTTATAAATGAAAACAAACAGGGATCAGTTTCGGAATGGGAATGCAAAATCCACACAAATATCTTTGTGTGAGGCTGCTGGTAGGCAGTTACACATATTCCTTACTGCTGTGTAAGCCTGGGTAAGTTAATCAACTGCCTTGAGCCTCAGTTTCAGGATCTATAAAAAAGGGATTAATGTAGTATAACAAGCACTGTCTACTTGATGGAACTTGTTAAGGATTGAGAACATTGATGCGCACTAACTGCTTAACACAGTGCCTGGCACACAAGTGCTCATGACATGTTAGCTGTCCTTGTTAAGTTCCAAGAACCTCCCTCCCTCCATTTGTCAACACACCTCTGTATTTGGGAGCATCCAACAGAAAAAGTCTGTGGTTAGATTTAGGGCTTCATTTAAGAGTCTTACCACACTGCCTGGATGACCAAAATAGGAAAACAAGGTCAGGCCACAGGGTTGTTACAGAAGCAAAATAAGAAATGGATCCTTTTCAATTAGCTGCTGCCACTGTCTCTTCCCCTGGAAGAGAATCCTCTACTGCCTTGGTGTCTTCATCTGTATAATGAGACGAAGCCTTCATACCTGCCTGCAAGGCTGTAGTAAGATCCTGGCACAAGAAAGCACTTTGTAAACTCCAGAGCACAATGCACCTGAGTCACTTACTGATTAAGAGCATGGGTTCTGGAGAATCTAGAGGGAGTGACCTGAGACAAGTTAATATCTCCTGACTTCGGTCCCCTATAAAACCAGAGCAGTAAGAATATCTATCTCAGGGATTGTAGTGAGGAACCAGTGAAACAATGTTAAGTGTTTGGGGCCTAGACTATCAGAAGAGCCCAACTGCTGGGCGTTATTATTATTACTAGGACAGGACTAATCCACTCATTGGACTTCTCACCCCCAAAGATCAGGTGAAAAGACTGTTTGCAGCGACGGCAACACTGCCCCAGTAACTGTGTGCTGTAACCAGCTTGGGTGACCTTGGGTAAGTCTCTGACCTCCAAACTTTGGGTTCCGTGATCACAAAATGATCCCCTGGTCTCCTACAGCTCTTCCTCTCCGCTGTGAAGGTGGCCGGAACAAAGGCCACCCGCTCCCCAACCCGTCCCCGAGGGAGTCAGGGGGAGCACAACCCAAAATTCCTGCGGCTCAAGTCCCTTTGCAGCGCGACAGCAGGAGCGCCTGGGTCTCTAGAGCGGGGAGATGCTTCCAACACTCCGCCGCCACCGCTCGCTTCATCAGCGACTAAGCTTCTCGCTGCCCCCTTAAGTTTTCCCAAGCGCCGGGAGAATTCGGCCGCGGTTCAACCCCGGGAAGACCACGGAGCGGGAGGACGCGGAGCCTGGGGGCCCGGCCGCGGGAATTTCCCAGGGTCGGCCACGCGGCCCGGCGGGGAGTGACAGATGCGACGCGGAGCCGCTTGGACTGGCAGGCAAAGCCGGACCTCGGACGGCGCGAGACGGAGGCAGCGGCCGCGCGCTCTCCGCGGGCCGCTCCCGTCAGGCACCCCCCCCCCCAACCCCGCGACCCTCGCTGGGCTTCCGGACACGAGGCGCCCCCGGAGCAGCTCCCGCGCGGCCTGCGGGAGCCGAGCCCCGGGCGGGGCTGAAGCCCGCAGCACCCGGAAGGGTCGCGGACCGCCGCGGCGACCGCGCGCGCCGGTTCCTCCCGCGTGAGACGGGGCTGCCCGGTGGCGGGCTGTGTGTGAGGAGAAGGTGGGCGCACGCGCACCCGCGCGCGCCGCCGTAACCCCTTCCTCCCCGCGCGCGCCCCCGGCCCCCCGCACTCCCACCCACCCCACCCCACCCCACCCACCACTCACCGTCGATGTCCCCCAGGGTCAGCTCGTCGCCCAGCTCCGTCAGCGTCTCCATGGTCTCCAGACCGCCCAGCTCGCCGCTCCCGTCCATCGCCCGGCTCGGCGCAGAAGACCACCCCTCCCCAGCCCCACGCCTCCTCTGCCGTCCCGCTTAGGGAGACGCGGGGGCGGTGCCGCCGTCGCCGCCCATGACACCCAACAGCCCCTGCCGGGTTACCGCCTCAGCGGCCGGTGCCAGCCGCCGCCATGTTTGCGCCGCGCGGGAGGGGGGCGGGGCGGCTCTGCCCCGCCCCCAGTCCGCGCCCTCCGTGGCCCCGCCCCCCGAGCCGCGCACTCCCTTGTTTGTTGTCAATGGGACCAGGCTGGTCGTGGCCAATCGGCGCGCGGGCCGGCGCGTGGGGTGATGGCGCGTCGACGATCAGCAGCTCTGATTTGCATAGCGAGGCCCCGCCTCTGGCGGCTCTTAAGTGAATGCGAAGAGAGAGGCCCCCCGGGTCCTGAGACCAACCCCCTTTCCCCCCAAGTTTAAAGGAACCGTTCTCTTTTCTCTTGGTTCGGCTCCGCGAGCTAACTCGGTCCACCTGCTAGGGGTGGAAGGGTTAACGCCGTCAGCCCCGCGTCCGCTCGGCACCTCCCGGAGCGGGCCGAGAGCACATTACGTCATCCTCCCAGCTGTCAGCCTCCTCTCCCCCGACCCCCGCCTCGCTGCCCAGCCCACTGGGGCGGGCAGAATCAAAACTGGACCCCCAACACTGCCCACCACCCACCCCCCCTCGCCCCCGAGGAGTTTGGAGATGCTCTCTAATCGCGTTCCTTCCAAGCCTTTCTACAGAGACTCGCGAACTGCCCGAGTGAGGAGCGTTTGTTTTACAAACTCTGCGCCGTTGCACCTGCCGCGACCACGTGTTTACTCCAGCGGTCTCTCCTGGGTACCTCCGAATCTCCTGCAGTCCTTTAAGATAGTGCCAGTGCCCCGGAACCACCACAGGCCTTCTGGGGTGCGGTGCGAACACGACATTTTGACGAAGAGTTCCGCAGAGATTCTGAGGCGCAACCCACCCATGGATTCCCACTTCTTCAACCACCTCACTTCCCCACCTCGCAGCTGGTTACGACGTAAACAAATGTGCAGGTTTCTAGGAATTTATACTAAGGAATAGAAGTACAGTGCTCCATGTTCATCATCCAGTGTTCCAGTGTTCCGTGTTCATCACGGAATCCCCTGTAACCTGGAAACACTGGGAAGCCCAATAAGGACCTGATAAATACATTACATCCACACAATGTAATACCATGGCATCGTTTCCTAAACGTGTATCTATTGACAAAAGACTTTCACAATATATTGTTAAAAGGGAAAAGCTGTCTCACTAGTCGGTGAGACAGCAGTTGCTTGGTGGTCAAAACTTAAAATCGAGTTCAGAGGTTGGGTGGAGGTAACCATATGGACATAATGGATCCACTTATGAACCCTGTGACTTTGGGCTGGTTAAATAACTTCTGGGTTTTTTTTTTTTTTTTTTTCCCTTCTCATTTTTGTCATCTCTAAAAAACCAGGGGAACAGTGCCCCTTTGGAGTGGTGAAGATGAAGTGAGATCACTTGCACACTCATTTGACAGTATTTATTGAACATCTCTGTGGCAGGCAAAGAGACAGTTCCTGCCCTCTGAGAGCTTCCAGTCTGTTGAAGAAAACATACATTGATATTTAAGAGGAAACCTAAAATTCTGTGGTGACAACTGCATCTGGTATAGCTAGGGGAACACACAATACAGACAAAGGCCCTGAGGCAGGAGGAGCTGCTGCAAGCCGGCACATGAATAAGGCCTGACACAGAGCTCATACAAGGCAGCTGCTGTATTGATAACTGAAAAGTTACATGTGATCTGTGTGCACATGAGGGCGAAAAGGATGGAAGGTCCAACAGGTGAGCATCAGTTATGGTTACGGAGTGGTGAGATTAGGGTGAATCATACTTCTTGGCATTTCAGTGTTACTTAAAATTACATTTTATAATCAGTATGTACAGCAAAGTACCTTATTGGGGGAGTGGGGGAGACATGAATGTTCTTTTCATTGTTTACATGCAGGAGAGTTGATATAGATGATAGAAGTCTCACCTTGAAACAGAAAACCAAACCCTGCTGCCCTGCTCTGGCCAGGTGCTGAGCTGGACAGTGCCACCTTCAACTCTATCATTCAGTGGCTCTCGCAGGGCTCCCACACCATGGGGTAGTCTGCTGGCACACCACATCACGTACTTTCACTTTGGCTTCAATGCCCTTCCATCCCAGAGCCTCAGTAAGCTACTGCAGAGGGCTGCCTGAGCACCAGGTCAGGTAAGTTGGCAAAGTGCCTCCCACTCTGCAGCTGCTCCCTCAGCTCCCAGCTAGACCTGCCCAGGGAGGAGGGCAGAGTGGTTCTGTTTCTACCTTTCAAGGTGTTAGAAGGGAAAATGTGGGCTCATTGGCGAGTAGAGAGGAAGGCATTAACTGAGATGGAGAGAAGTGAAGGTATAGAAGGAAGAGTCCCAGAAGCTAAAGGTGCTAAAATATGGCAGAGGTGAAGACTGGCTAAGACTGGGTCCCTCTCTCTCTGGCTGTGCATACAGTGGGTGCTCACCACATCTCTGGGATGAATGAAGAACCATCAGAGAAGGGCTCCTGTCACTAAGAAGCCAGGCCCCAACATCAGAGAAGCAGTTTAGGGCTGGGCAGAGGGTTCAGGCATTATCAAATTCATTACACCAGTGAAGCCGCAGCACAGGGAAGGGGTGGGCCAGGGTCACTCAGCAAGTCTGATGGGCTAAGAACCTGGGTCTCCCTTGGGCTCTGTTAGTGGTGGGATATTGGGGACAGCTGTGTGTCTCTCCCCTGGCTTGGCAAAGTCAAGAGACTGAGCTAGAATTCCCCCCCAGAGCCCCTCCCTTCTCTGCCTGGGAGGGGCATGACTGAAGGGCGGCTGCCTACTCAGGGCCTGAGTCCCTCTGCAGCTCCCGGCCCCCTTGGCCCTGGTCTCTGCTTACAGGCCTCCTGACACAGGGAGCTTGCTGTCCGGCCTATCCATCCAGGGAGCAGCCCTTCCACAACAAAGTAGAGCCTCCTGCAGAGCTGCAGCCTGTCCCCCAACAGCGCCCCCAAGAGGCCCAGGGGCACCCTGCACTGCCAGAGAGTACAAGTTGATTCTTCCCTGGGCCTGCTCAATGACTATCCCTCGATACCTAAGGACAGAGATCAGACTGCTCCAAGACTGTCTTGAGCTAAACACCCTCCCAGGAAGGACACTTGTGGTCCCTTCCCAACACTGACCCCTCATCAAGGACGGTGCTGTGAAGGGAATAGGAGGCTGAAGCCAAGCCTCTGCTTTGCTGCCCTGCCAGGGCCTGAGGCTCCTCCTGAGTAGGCAGAACATTCTCTAAGATGGTCTCTAGAGCTGAGGGCCCCTGACCCCCCTGCCCAGGCCCCCCTCACCTGCTCCGTGGAGAGGCTCACATCTCCCTGGGGCCCAAACCAGCCTTGGTCAGCCCAGAGCATTTGCTGGCTTTTCTTGTCTCTGCAGGGGGCTGGAACCTGTGCCTGGCATCTCAGTGACACAGCAGGGCCAGCAGCAGGCATGACTTCTCTGCACATGGCTCAGAGCCTAGTTCTGCTGCCTCCCCATGAGGAGCGGCCACCAGCCGGCCAGCGGTCCTAACCCACGGTGGTGGCGGGGGGAGTCCAGCCCAGGATCCCTTCTGCTTCCCCCAGCATCTCCACAGGGTTAGGTCTGCAGCACAGCGCCCTCTGGAAGCTCCCTTGGCACCCCTCCAGGGAGGTCCCTGGGAGGAAGTCCAGCCCTCTGTGGCTCAGTCCCTTCAGCGGGGGCTCGGAGCCAGCCCCAAGGGGCCAAGCAGACTCTGGCCTCCTCTCTGAAGACGCCAGTGCTCACCATCAGTCAAGCTTCTGCACTCTCCTTTTCCTCCCAACTGGCCGCCTCCTGGTCCCGTGAGCCCTGGGCCGCTCCAGGGCTATAACTCAGACTGTGATCTTGAGATCCGAGGGCCTTTTCGGATCTCTTTCCGCTTCTCTTCTTTCTTCCGGCGTTTCTCCTCTTCCCTCAGGGCCTTCTGGAAAGGGTCAGTGCTAGAGATGAACTGAGGGGAAAAGCAGAGCCGTCTGTTAGGTCGGCTGGCAGCGAAGTGTGTGCTCTGAGCTAGGCTGCTGTGGGCACAGGAAGGTCACTGAGACACAGGCCCTGGCCTCGGGGGAGCCCACAGACATGCAGCTAGTAAATAGGCTCGGGAGAAACTGCTGAGTGGGTCTCAAAAGATTAAGCAGGAGCTTGCCAAGTGAACAGGGTGAGGGAAGAGGACACTCCAAGAAGGACAGGCGTCGAACCTGCATGGCGCGTTTGAGAAACAAGCAACAGACTGCACTCAGGGTGAAGGAGGCTGAGTGCCCAAGACCACCTCGGGCCCCCAGAGCCCTGAACTAGGGGGACAGTCAGCGAGAGTAAGACAACAGGGGTCCTACTGCTTGCGGACAAGCTGCAAGTTATAGGCAAGGGAGTATATAGGAAGCAGCTGGATCAGAGGTTAAACTGCCAGACCCGGAAAGAGATGGAAAGAATATGACAGCGATGCCCAGGCTTGTGGCTTCCCTAGTGGGTGCAGGGTGGTGCACAGTGAGAAGACAGAAACACAGGGCGTGCTGGGCGGGAGGAGAATGGGACTTTGGCCGGGGCAACCCCCAGGCCCTCAGCTCTTCCTCCCCGACTCTCCAGACCGGTTCTTCTGAACCCAGGGCTTCTGTCGCACCTCTACAGTCCGTCACCCCTCAGATTTGCATCTCCCTATCTAAAGGCCTGTCTGACACCTCCACATGTGTGCACATGTGCCCCGAACTCAGCATGGCTCCATCTCCCCAAAACCCTTCCAGAGTCCGTGTCCTCATGAGCAGAGTCCCACATCCCAGTCAGCAAGTAGTGCAAAGACAAAGCATCGCCCCCACCCGCCCCCCAACTCCCCAGCTGCAGGTTGAAACCCCTCACAGTCCAGTGCCAAGGTCTGGCCCATTTTAACTCCTAAGTCTCAAACCCGTCTCTTCTGTCTCACCTATCATATCGTTAACCCCATCACCAACCCCCAACACCTTTCCTGATAAACCTCGGCACCTCTCAGGGTCTCTCCATACCCACTTTGTCCCTCTGAAGCTATTCTCCTCACTGCAGTCAGATATTTTCAAAATGTAAATTGGACTCCTGCTGAAACCCGTCCTTGACTCTCCACACAGCTCTATCTGCAGGCGCACCCTGCCCACCCCTCCTCCCTCCTCACTTCTGGCTCCTGGGTTCCTTTGTGCCCACTTCCAGCTCTCTGCACATGCTGTGCCCCAGGCCCAGAACCCTCTTCCCGGCCCCCACCCTGTTTGTCACAGTAGCTGCAGTTCAGCGGTCCCCATCCCTGGGGTGACTCCTGCCCTGATTCTCCCGGCTGGGGCTGTCTCCTCCGGTTCCTCCTCAGTGCTTCTCCCCTGCGACCACCTGCCTCTGTGACACCTGCTTCGTGCTTGTTGCCCCCACTGGATCACACTCTCCCCGAGGACAGGTGGATAGTGGGGTGCCGCTCACTGTGACACAAGCCCCCAATGCGGTCTGATGGGCCAACAGGTGGCGCTTAATATGTATTTTTTAAATGAATGAACGAATCATGTTAGAGTATGAAATACAGTAATATCCACAACTCAGGTAACTCTGTTGGGAAACATGCCCCTTTTACTTGTTCATATGGTAAATCTGATGTTTGGTCAAGGCAGACGTTAAAAACAAACTAGGAGCTCCACCTTGTGGAGTAATCCACCTACTGTGTTAGATTGAACCACAAGTCTGGAAGATGGGGTGAAGTCAGAGAAGTGCAGCCCAGAGAGGGTAAATGATCTGCACAGGTCACACAGCTAGTCCCAGTTGGGACTAGCCCCCAAGCCTCCTAAGCTCCCTGCCCCATGCTTCCCCGATCACACTGCCTCCTATCCCTACCAATTACTTCGGATCCTCCTGGGAAGCAAGGAGGAGCCAGGAGACCCCTTGGGCCACAGAGGACCCCATCCTCTGGCTCTGGCTGGGGAAGGACCAGTCAAGAGATCCTGGCCCCTCCAGCCCCAACAGGTTGGGTCAGCAGAGAAACAATGCCTAGTCCTTTCCTGGCTTTCCTCCCGGCTGGGCCTAGCTAATGCCTACTTTAAATTCGGATGCTGACCTCCAGCGGGCCCTCCCTGCTGCCTGGCAACCCAGGATGTTGCCCTGGTCCACTGCCTGTCCTGCTCTCCTAG